ACGACCACTATGGTGCCTCATGGTGCCCCATGAGCCTTGTGATGCCTGGGAACCTTAACGCCTCCAGAGCTCTCATCCCCACACGTCGCGTGACCCCGAAGGGCCCCCCCCAATTCACAGTCCTGATCACGGGTGTGCCGCCATGGACGATTCGGCGGCACGCACCCGTTGGCTCTTCACCGTCGGTGGAGCGGTGAGGCGGCATGCACACGTTGGCTCTTCACCGTCGATGGAGCTCCCTGTGGGGTGCAGTCCATGTGAGGGGACATTCGGCACACATGTGGTGACGTAGCGTTCTGCGGATCCTCCCAGGAAGACGGATCACAAGGGCCCCATGAGGGCCACGAGATGGCTGAAGGTGCCCCATTGCGAATTCTCCACTCAGAGCCGCAGGTGAAGCCCGCTCTCCTGGGGGAGAGGCACACAAGGAGAGGAGAAGGAGCAAGGAGGTCGAAGGAGGGAGGAGGAGGGAAACAGGAAGAGGCTGGACGAGCAGGAGTAAAATCCACCATCCAAACCCGGCGATACAGGTCTCGACGTTTCTGCCTCTCGGGAGCGTTTTCGGACCACCCGTCCCAAGTCGATCTTGCATCGGGGACCTGTTCTGAGCCGATGTCGGCTGTCCACGGCAGCAGCCAACGAACAACAGTCATTCATTCTAGCGAGCTCGTTGCTACTACTTCTTGCGCCACAGCTCCTTTCATCCCCATCGACGACGCCTGTGACCTTCCCTCCCTATGCCTTTCGTGACCTCTCCTGCCCGTTGTGCCCCTCCCTGCCTCCTTCGCTCCTTCTCTCCACTTCCCACTCCTGCAACCTCTTCCCTGTCTCCATTTTGGCCCCAGGCGCCCTCGGCTCCCGCTTGACAGCGCTTCCTGTCTTCGCCGCCCCATGGCGGAAAAGCGGAAACACCGAGCCACCGCTCCTACCCGGGATGTCCATGAACCCTATGGGCCTAATGGGCCCTTTGAGCCATATGAGCCCTATGAACCCTATGAGCCCCATGAGCTTTACGAGCCCTGCGGGCTCTATGGGGCCCACGAACCCCATGAGCCCAATGGACCCTTTAAGCCTTATTAATTCATGAGCCCTATGAGCTCTGCGGGCCCAATGGACTCCGTGAGCCCTATGACCCCCGCGAACCCTATCACTCCAATGAGCCCTAGGAGCCCAATGAGACTTAAGGGCCCTACGAGACCACGACCTCTCCGAGCTCCATGAGCCCCGTGGGCCTGATGAGCCTTTTTGAGGCTTATGAGCATTAGAAGCCCCATGACCTCTCATGAGCTCACGAGCCCCAGGAGCCCCATGAACTCAATGAGCCGAACCCCATACCCCCCGACCCTCCATGACACCATACGAGCGCGATGACCCTTTGTGAGGCTTATGCGCCCTATGAGCTCTAGAACACCCTTCAGCACTGGGAGCCGCGAAGCCTTGCGAGACCCATGAGACACCCCTTCTGAGCCCTACGAGCCCAGTGAGCCAGCCGTATACGGCCTATGGGGCCTCTGAGCCCTATGGCCCCGACTTGCCCCTTCAGCTCAATCGGCCCCATGGGCCCTGCGAGGCTTACGCGCTCTGTTAGCGCTATGGGCCCTATGGCCCTCCGGAGCACTGCGAGCTCTATGAGCCCGATGGCCCCCAAGAGCTGATGACTCCAAGGAGCCCCAGGGCCGTTATAAGCACCATGAGCCTCCTATGACCCCCATGACCTCTGTAAAAGCCACTCAGCATTATGAGCCCGGCGCCCGATATGCGCAAACAGTCCCATGACCCCAACGAACCCCCATGAGCCCTGTGAACCCTGTGAGTCTCATGACCCCCTAGGGCCGTCTTGGCAGCATTACCCCTCGCCTAAAATTGGGGCTTCGAGCCCTTGGGCCCCATGACGGCAGAGACCCCTTCTGAGCTCGTTGAACCGCAACATTCACTGTGTCCTATCAGCCCTGTTTGCTCCATGGTCTCCATGGCCAGAACACGCCGCGGCTGTAACGACAACCGATATCATCGTGGCTCCCTGGCGCCATGCGACCAAGATTTTAAAGGCAAAAAACGCAGCGAGCCGGTAAAATCTTGCGCGTGTGTATATATGTATGTATATATATATATATATATATATATATAGTTTTTTACGTGTCTCAGGGCCCCCCGAATTTTTCAGACCCCCTCAGGTAAAGGTGACGGGGGCCCTTTTCGCCCCCCCCCCCTCGCGCGGACTTCAACAGTTCACAGCAGGAAGCAGAACACAGAATTGTAACAAACTGGAACTGGAGCAACGAGCAGCAAGCCGAATCCGCAGAGCCTGATGGCCCCGCAAGGGGTCCGGCGGATTTTGTGAATCAAGACTTTGACCGTTTGCTCTGCCTGGCGCTGGCGCTTTTCCCGACATCCGATTTTCGTGAAACGCCCACGTCGTGTTGGGATAACACAACCAGAGTTTTCGACCCTATCTGTGCGTATGGTTTCTCTCTCCGTATCGATCCGTGGATGCCATGGGGCCTGACACGGGGGCGAAAACGCCCATCGTGCTTTTGTCACAGCGTTGGGGCGTGAGCCCTGACACGGAAACTGGGAGCCTCACACCACCAGCCGTTCGGGGCTGAAGGGACGGGGTCGATGCAAGCGGGGGTCGGCCAGAGCGCCAGATTTTGCAGGATGCTGCAGAGCAAGGGGTGCACTGACCCGGGCTTGCGTAGAGGATCCTGCAGGATTTTTCAGGATCCTGCAAAGCCTGACTGACCCGGATTTGGATCGACCCCGGTCAGCAGATCCCCGAATGGGTATGATGCCCAGCGGCGAACGCGGTCCCAAACCGACCGCCGCCGCTGTCGGGCAGACGACCTTACGCCTCCAACGGACAGCGCCCGCGGGGACGGCGGCAGCGGGTCCTGCCCGAAGTGGGCGAGAACTGCCGTCGGTCGTCGTGCCCGTGCCTTCCGCCAGCCGCAGCGCGACTACAATCGGCACGGTGCGCCAGGAGCGATCGGGGGTGTCTCGACAGCTTCGGCCACGGGAAGGCTCGCCGCCCGGGAGCGCCGGAGGGGACCAGACACCAGCGCCCCCCCCCCCCGAGCCCAGAGGGGTCCCCACAGCGGCGGGCGTGCCCTTCCCCGTCGTGCTCGGCTGAGAGAGCCTCCCCGCCCCTCTTGTCGGGGGCCCCGCGGGCCGCCGTCGTGCCCACGGGGGGGGGGGGCGCGGCCGACACGTAGCTTGAGAACAGCCCCTCCGGAGGGCTCCGGAGGCCCCCCCTGTCCTCGGGGCTCTTTTGCGATGCCTTCGGTTCGATTTCGATGGGTTCCGTTTCCGCTTCGATGCGGGTTTCGGATTCCCGGTGGCTTCCAACTCGCAACGGCAGGCCTTGTTTCCCTGCCGTTTCCGCCGACCCCAGTTCTCCCGACCTGGTTGCCGCTTTCCGCCGATCCGACTCTGTGTCGATCGCCGATCCCCTGTGCCTACTCGACTCTGGGACTTCCTGTGTTTTTCGTGCGCGGGCTCTCCACCTTGCAGTTCCCGCTTCTGTGACAAATCATTCGGATCACGGGGAACAATGTACTCAACAACGGCAAACTAAAAACAACAAAACAATTATCCCAGTGCGACCCTACCTAGGAGTTGGAGCATTCAGGAAAGCAACAGCTAAGCTAAGCTAAGCTAAGCTAAGATGGGGTAAGCTAAGCTAAGCTAAGCTAAGCTAAGCTAAGCTAAGCGAAGCGAAGCGAAGCTAAGCTAAGCTAAGCGAAGCGAAGCGAAGCTAAGCTAAGCTAAGCTAAGCTAAGCTGGGCTAGGCAAAGCTAAGCTAAGCTAAGCTGAGCTGAGCTAAGCTAAGCTAAGCTAGGCTAGGCTAGGCTAGGCAAAGCTAAGCTAAGCTAAGCTAAGCTAAGCTAGCTAAGCTAAGCTAAGCTAAGCTAAGCTAAGCTAAGCTAAGCTAAGCTAAGCTAAAGCTAAGCGAAGCTAAGCTCAGGGTAAGTTAAGCTAAGCTAAGCTTGGCTAGGCAAAGCTAAGCTAAGCTAAGCTGAGCTAGCTAAGCTAAGCTAAGCTAGGCTAGGCTAGGCTAGGCAAAGCTAAGCTAAGCTAAGCTTAAGCTAAGCTAAGCTAAGCTAAGCTAAGCTAAGCTAAGCTAAGCTAAGCTAAGCTAAGCTAAGC